GTTTGTTGCTCTCGTCGATTATCTGTATTTCATACAATTCCCCGCCTTATGATTAATTGCTTCTAATGATTTGAACCATTAGCGGGAAGTTTTTTGTTAATTTATGAGAAAGATGCTTCGGTTGCGTTGGAATTATTCGCGATTTTATTATAATGGACTATAGAACATTTCGTTTGTAAAGCTCTTTTTTGCATAAAAATGTAAAAAAAATACTAAGGTCATTGAATGGTTCACAATAAATTTGTTTAGTATCGACGGAATCATTATTAAATTTATCTATAATAGATCCGAGTTGTTGCGGTTTTTGTAGGCTTTGAAATTGATCGGCTAATGGAATTGTTATACGCGCAAGAAATCTATTATTACTTAACGTGTTTATTTTTACCTTCAGTTCGGGCCGATATTTTTATCCTCAGATAAAATTTCTACTAACTAAATAACGAATAAAATTATTTCGATGATTAAGTGTCCAATTTTACTTTTTTTAAAAGGTCGGCAACGCACCTGCAATTCCCCTGCTATTGCAGTTGTTTATAGGCGGCGGTAGTCTCATCGTCAGGTGAGCCGCATGCTAGTTAGTTCACTTACTACAAAATTCCGTTAATTAAAAAATTTGAAGCATATAGTAATAATTAAAAAAAGGTACAAAATAAATCCTCTCTGCAAAGACAGAAGGTGTACAAAATGGGACGGTGGCTTTATTAAAGTGTCGTTAATAGTTACAATTTTACTTTATAATAAAGTAGCTGCTTCCCGCAACTTCGTCCGCATGGAATTTTTTCTTTAAGTGGTGACTCATGACTCTCATGCTGCAGCTATATTACTGGTATAGTTGTAGCACGAATTGGTCGGCTCGACCGGGGAAGGACCACACTCTCTCAGAATACCAGCGTAAAATAGCAGCTTAACGCTGCTGTTTCGTATGGTGAGTGTAAAGAACCGGATACACTTTTTACTGGAAACGAGACATTCCATCTTAGTCCTTACGGGTGACAACGCATCTGCATTTTGATTCGTAATCGAGGATAGATGGAAATGTCTAAGGGCGACAGCAACCACATACCATCAGGTGGACTGTGTGGTCGTTGGCGCCCTTATCCTATAAAAAATTTATTACGATGGGATTTCGTGGGTTTAAATTTTTTTGCACGGAACCCTAATTCTTTTTCTATAATTAAAAATTTTAAAATTTTTTACAACCGATTTCAATATAAATTATTAAGAATAACTCAAAAAATATTGGCCAGACCTTGATCAAATTGGGGCCTAAGGGGTCACATGTGAAGCACCAGCTTTCAAATAAAAAAATAATCATCGAAATCGGTTCACCCAGTAAAAAGTTATGAGGTAACACATAATAAAACACAGTCGAAATGAGTACCGGCTCCTTTTTGAAGTCGGTAAAAAATAAAAGTAGCTTAACCCACATTCGCTGTCCCGTGTACTACATAATGGTTCATTGCTATTGTCTTACTATTGTGTTTGGAAATCGGGCAGTGAAAGTGTTAAGTTACTCCTTATAATATCAGCTATGGGCCAGTGCGTCTCGTAAAAAATTGGTCCAGCCAGTCAGAAATATATTTTTTTAAATTGTTATTTTTTGTTATAAGTACGGTATGTATATACTTTCATATGCATTTAGTAAAAAGCTGTTATTTTGACAGCCACTTCAATTTTATTTATTTGTATAGATGCAAAATCATTAAAATAACACGTAACAGGACGTGTTTAGCATCATCTGTCATCGAATAAAACTGTCTATCGAATAAGCAGTTATCTTGTTACAGGATAGAGCTATTCCTCCGGTAGTCAAGTTATTCGTCGAACAAACCCTATTTGAGGATTGAAATAATAATTTATTTACTATTTGTCGAATAAACGCTATTGTTCAGTTTCTATGGAGATTGAAAAATCGACCTATCGATACAGTGCCGGCCTGAGGCAAGTTTTAGGATGGAGCGAGACCCAATTATGGCGCCCCCCTTGCTTGCCCTTAATATATACCAGTTGTACGTGCACATGCAAGCATGAAACTGGGAAAATCTCGACAACATCTTAAATCTATGTCTAATTTGTCGATTGATAATTTAAAATTAAAAATTTTGTACAGCCGACTTCAATATAAGCGACTTCAATATAAGTTATTTAAGAATAACTCAATAACCATTGGTCTGACCTTGATCAAATTCATATGTGACCACACGAGAACTATCAGCTTTCATATAAAAAAGAATCATCGAAATCGGTTCACCCAGTACAAAGTTATGAGGTAACACACATAAAAAAAATATACAGTCGAATTGAGTACCGTCTTCTTTTTGGAAGTCGGCAGAAAACAGTCATGCTCGTGGTATTTTAGGCACTGTACTCTATACGGTATCTATAGGAACTGTTGATGTAGAATGAAAAAACAAAATTAAATTAAAAGAATTAAGGTACATTTATTTAAATAAATCATAACAACAATAGACAATAAAACAAATTTGAGTCAACATTCATTAATGAGATCAATAAGCATAATCAACTTTAGAACTGGTACTTATACGTTATGTTATATGTTTACTAATTAATGTAACAGTGCTTACTAAAAACAAACTTCAGGCTTAGAATACTGGCTTCTAATAATAATATAATTAACCCATTGAATGTCGTAAAAATTCAAACAATAGCATAACAATAGCAATAAGGACACCTGTATGTCCTTAAAACACTCAATAGTTTAATAATAAACTATTTAAATGGAGAACAAATTTTAATTAAATCGCTGCGTACGCCCTTTTGCATTTACAATTTTTTATATTACCTCCTCATATGATAATGTCTGAGCTATATCATTTTCAATTGACAGCAAGACTAGATCAGAAAGCTTATCTTCTACGAGAGTCGACCTCAGCTATGTTTTACTTAGCTTAAGCTTGCTAAAACTGTGTCCATATTTGGCCACCGTAATCGGAATAGTTACAAAAATCCGGATAGCTGTCCAAATACCTATTACACTTCCCATCTTTTTGTTGAGTTTGTAAAAAATACAAAAAAGCGCTGTAGAATGCCACGCTCGTCTCAACAAATAAGGCCATACGCACAAATACCAACTACACAAGTACTACAAGCCACACGTTCGAAATTAAAATATTGAAAAGCGAGCAAATTTCCATCAATAAATTCAGGCACACGAGCAACGAAACGGAACAGAGACTAAGCTTCTAAAGAGCGTGCAAAATTGTTACCTTAATAAGCTAAAAGATTGTATTTTTCTATTATGCTATGCTATTACCAAAAATTTGACTAAGGCGCCTCCTGGGACTTGGCGCCTGGAGCGGCCGCTCCGTTCGCCCTATGGTAGGGCGGGCCCTGTTTCGATAGACTCTGTTAACTTCTGTTAACGTCAACCGTAAAATACCCATAGCGGCGACGGACAGCGGCGTCAGAAGTGCGAGACGTCTGGCACTGCGATCGTCATTCCGCCTGCTGTGGACTTTGAAGGGCCGAAAAAGTAGAATTAGTGATGATATATTAATAGTATGTGTGTGAGTCCATGGGCTGCGGACAATCGGAATGCTTTTATCTTTTCTTTTTTATAAAATAAGTAAAAAGTAACTGACAGTGCACTTAATAGTAAGTGCAGTCCATAGACACCTGTAGCTAATAAAAAAAAAACCCTACAGATGTTTTGTCATTTCTGAGGACTAACATGGAATGCCTCATAGCCTGTAATTATATTGTTTTCCTATACCATTCACACCGGAGCCCAGCAGTGCACGCCCTGCTATTTATTAGCAGACAGCTAGTATAAAGCCAGGCGAAGCGAGGTAATATTATAAAGACAGGAAAACAGTCTTACCATTACCACATATCATGCTGTGTTCTTTATCGCCATTAAAAGGAATAATGTTCGCTCAACCATACGTCAAGCTACACAGAAAGATTTGCGAAAATGTTTTTTTCTTATTGTTCTCTAGCCAGCTTAATTTATTTAGATAGATACGATTATTTACAACTCAAAATTGGAATGTTTCAATTTAAAAACAAAATTGTTTATATTATAAGTTTAAAATTAAACCCCTTTTTTATGGCGGTTTATTTATACTTGGTGCCAGACATAGATAAGAGGGTAGTATAAATCCAGTTGAAATTCTAGACAGGAAAAGAGACTTACCACCATACTGTGTTTTTGTTCGTTATGTGTAGAAAAATTATGCGCTCAGCCATATTATGATATATCATATGACTCAAAATGTTTTGCGAAAAAATATTTTTTTTTATGTATGAGATAGTGGCTAGTTATACACTAGATTCTAAAGAATTAGTGATGCATTTATCGGGCAATGTATGCTTTTACAACAAAATCTCAAAAAATGTCAAAGTTAGTAAGTAAATACAACTTTAAATTGTACAAATAGGGTTATTATAATATCAAGGAATACATGAATGAAAATAACCAATGGGAATTAGGTGATCGCCACCATGCTGTTTCTATTAAAATTCATATAATTTTTTTTTTTTATAAAATGATTGTAAAATTATATACGACGTCTGTTCAAAAAGTATCGCGAATTTTGTATTTTTTCAAAAAGTATTTATTTCTTCATGAATATCTATTTTGCCTTCTTCAAAGTAATCCCCCTCGGATATAAGGCACTTGTGCCAACGTTTTTTCCAATCCTCGAAGCAATGATCTTTTTCAGCTCCTCCTTCGATGCCGTCTTTATCTCCTCAATCGTGACGTAGTGTCGTCCTTTCATGGGCCTCTTCAGTTTTGGGAACAGGAAAAGCCACAGGGGGCCAGATCTGGGTATATGGTGGCGTGGGACCATTACTGTGTTGTTTTTGGATAAATATTCGCACACAAGCAACGATCTGTGAGCAGCGTTATCATGGTGCAAAAGCCAGTTTTTGTTCTTCCACAAATCCGGGCGTTTCTGGCGGATTGCTTCGTGCAAATTGCGTATAACACATACAGATAATATTCCTTAATGATCGTACTACGCTGTGGCAAGAACTCATGATGCAGTACGCCCCTGCAATCGAAGAAAACTGAGCAAAACCTTCACGTTCGACCGAACTTGGCGCGCTTTTTTCGGTCTTGGCTCATGCGGCAGCTTCCATTGTGATGATTGAGCTTTGGTTTCCACGTCATAACCATAAACCCATGATTCGTCACCAGTTATGACCCTCTGAAGCACATTTGGGTTGTCACGGACCGAGTCCAACATCTCCCGAGCAATGTTAACGCGATGCTGTTTTTGGTCGAAATTGAGCAAATTTGGTACGAATTTCGCGGCGACCCGACACATGTCCAACATTACTTACAATCGAATGCCACGAGCCAATCGATATGTCTAGTTACTCAGCAACTTCTCTAACGGTGATTCGACGATTGGCCGATAGTATTTTCTTCACTTTATCACTGTTATCTGTTGTTGACGTGCTCGGGCGTCCGGCACGCTGTTCGTCATTGACGTCTCCTCGGCCCTCTGAGAACATTTTGTACCACATAAATAAACAATTATATATAAACGTTGCTTTGGTCCAAGGTACTCGTAGCTTCACCATATGCCACATTCAACATGCGGAATGCATCCGCGCACTTTTTTTTCATACAAAATTTAATACAGATTCTTTGATCCATTTTTTGGAATAGGTAAAAATCGAAGACGAGCCAAAACACATCCAAGCAAAACAGCTGTCAAAAATAGAAGGCCGACATAAGGCTACAAAAAAAATCAAAAATCAAATATACGTAGCCCGCGGAAATTCAAAATGCGCGATACTTTTTGAAAAGACCTCGTATGTTTAAAAAAATATAATCTCGCTGGGTTTCTTGCTGGTTCTTCCCAGGATAGAGTATTTAGGAGAGATTATGAAGGTCAAGTCGAAAATATTCGTGCAATGTTCTATTTCCTAAAATTTCAAATTGGTTTAGTAAGCGTATTTGAAATCTATATACCTATCTTTAATAACGTTTACAAACTGTCGTTGTTTTTGACATGATTTTGCCGGAAAATTCAATTTTCCAACAAAATCATCTCTCAGTGTGTATATAGATTTAGGAATGTACCTGTATCTGTGTCCTGTTTATCGATGAAATTAGAAGTTGTTATTCTGCATTTTCTATAAATAATTTATGTATAAAATAACTTGTACAATTTTTTAATTTCTGCTGAACCTAAAGGTAATTTGGTGGAGAATGCCTGTTAGAATTAAGTTCGTATTGTATATTATATTACATTAAGTGAAACGAAAGTTATAAAGTTATAAAATTATATTCCACAAATCTAATTACTTCAAATCGTAATGTGGCCAAGTGTAATGCTGAAATTGTATCATTTGTGTATTGTTCATAAAAGAAGTGACATAACAACGAGGTGAAATTGTGAAACAAAAACGGACGCACGCATTCTGAACTTTTTGTAGCAAAAACTCCGTTCGAGATAGAAGGCAAGGACCATAAACAACATCATTATAATTGAGCTTTGGTAGCACCAAAGACTCACAAAGCCTTATACTGAGTTCCTAATTTAAGTAAGGCCCAATTTTGTACTACACTTTTAGTCTGTAAAAACAGTTATGGGCAGCTTCTAGAACATGTTAAAATTCATGTAAATGTCCAATTCCAAACCTAGAACTTCTGACTCATAATTTATATTTTCCTTTAAAATAGAAACCTATGTTTGCCGAAACATAATGTCATACAACTGATTTTTTGTTGCTAGAACTGCGTATTTAGATTCACATTAAATATCAGTTTTCTTTTTCACGTCTTTCTTCATACTAGTGGAACATGTGTTATATCGGCGCTTACAATTGCAATTTGTGAAAAAAAAACCATATTATTGATGTCAGTTAAGATCGACCTCAATGGTGCCCCATCCGGGATAGTATGGCGCCTGCTGTTTACTTTTTACAAAACCTATCATACATATTTATGATGTTTTGTAAAAAGTAAACGAGAGTTCAATAGAACGGTTTAGTAATCTTATATAACTACATTCGTATATTGTATTATTTCACTTAGTCTTAAAATACAAACTTCTAAATCTCTCAAAAGCGTAAGGACGAAGAGTTAAATTACTTTTCATTTATTTTCTCAATACTTCATAAGTATAAACGTAATTATTATGTACATATAAGTATATAATTTTTTAACAGTCATATCACTATACTATAACCGAGTTCATTAATTGAACTGATTGTTTTATGTGTTGATTTACCAAGTCTTTGACAATGGAGGAAAATATCGTACGGAAATTTTATGTCTGAGGTACTGAAACCCCCTCAGAAATAAGAGTAGGTCTGTAGAAAAGGCACTTATGTAGGCTGTTATATTACCCTTATTCAGTAACAATTAATGTCAGTGTTTGTTGAAATAACTTTATAGTATAGTAAGGGACGTTTAACCGTGTAGTGGCGGTGTATTAATATCTAAACCATATGATGCCGTGGGTGTCATAACAGGTGACGGAGGGAAACAAACCAGCGTGGTAGCTATGGCAAATACGAGGCTATTGGGAGGCCTATGTTCAGCAGTGGACTTTTGGTAGGCTGTAACCGTATTGGGCGCTTTAAAAATGACTAAAAAGGCAAACAATTTTATGATTTTTTTTTACTTATAAGCCAGTGCTTGACCACAATCCCACCTGGTGGTAAGTGGTGATGCAGTCCTAGATGGTAAGTCGCACTGTCTTAGCGTAACAAAAGCCTATTCATTCTTGCCTTGAAGACGCCCAGATTGTATTCGGACGGAAAGATTGACGCCGACAAATTATTCCATTCCATTGCTGTACGCGTCACAAAAGACAAAAGACGTAAATAGTTCCTTGTGAAATTTTGAAATATTGTGAAATATTTCGAAGCTTTTACTCTCATCGGTAGGATTACTAATATTGTCCTAATTACCGGTTGGAGCTTTCAGCGATTAAAGTCGGTATTGATTCCACACGAACAAGACGCATTGTTTCAGATTGTTTTTATTACTTTCTCTGATATTAGCCGATCGCCAGAGACGATTTTGGGCACTAGTAAAAATCTATCATAAACCTACTTACAACCTTCGTTATTTTGTGATATATAAAATAAAATATTTAATTTAAGTACTTTACAGAGTTATTACAGATATTTTCAGTAGCTTTTTGGAATGTGATATGGGAGTAGGAAAAATATGAGCTTATTTCGTCGTAAGGAAATCCTGGAGTTTGTAAAGACTTACAATTAAGATAAATATTTTGAAAGTTTTGGAAGTATGACGAATAAAACATCACATCAAATGTCAGACCTAAGTATCCATGATGAGCGACGACAGCAAGGATTAAGAATCGACGGTCAGGTATTACAATCTCTAATCGGTATCTGTTCGCTAAGATAGTTTCGGTACACCCGGAGGCGAACTTATTATTTTGCTTTTATTTTATTATTTTTTAATGTTTTTCTATTCTATGAATAAAATATAATAATTTTTTTTTGTTATAATTATTGTAGTAAAATACAAATATAAATAATAAAAACAAGTTAGGTAGCAAAGAACCTGTCACTAAGGCGCTTTGTTTTAAAACGCCAAATTCTTCTTCGGATGTACGCCGCACGCGCAGGAAAATTTGTCATTTTAAAACTAAGCACCGAAGTGAAAGGATCTTGGATACTTAACTTGTGTTTATTATTTATATTCGTATTTTATTACAAAAATATATAAATAAAATAGTATTGTATTTTATTTTATTTATTAAATATTAATTAAAATAAAATAGAATAATATTTTATTTATAGAATAAAACATATTTAACTAACAAAGTAAAAAATAATAAAATAAAATCAAAATAATAAGTGTGCCTCCGGGTGTACCAACACTGTGTTAGCGGACAGATTATATATTTACAGGCTATAAGATCATTTAAACTTAGGTCCCAAAAGTGCCAACGCACCTCTTGTAGGTAGTCTTCTTTGTTTGAAGTTGATTACAGACGTCCACATAGGTCCCACAGGACCCACATATCATTGGGTGAACTGTTGGTGTGTTTATCATTTTAATATTATAAAGAAATGTATTTATTACTATCTTGAATTCTGGTTGCGGAATATGTCAAGATTTGTGCAAAAAAACAAAATAGTTTTTCAGGTATAGATATATTGTGATGATTATCACCGTGTCTTTGACATTGCATTCGAGGAATTTTAGCCGACCTTCGATCTTATATATACTCGTAGCATTTCATCAAGATATTATCCCTATAGCGTTACATCGGATAGGGATGCCGTAGAAAAAAAATGAGTGTATGTGTTATATTTTATAGGCAGTTAATCATTCTGATGTAAGAAAGTTGTCAACATTGTCATAATCGGCATTGATAACATTATTTTTGCCGAAAGCATAGAATTTAAAATGAAATCTCTTCAGTCGTGTAGTTTATTTAGTATATTTTGTTTGTTCAGACATGTAAATCACGTAGTTTCTACAAATAATTTTTTTAAACTGGCTTACGGCTCTGGGTTCTAGCCCTTCTGAACCTAAACTACAAACAAAATGAAATATTTATCACAGTTTAATATTAGATCAGACCCGTAGATTAGTTTTCGAAATTCAAATAACAAATTTGTATTCACGCGCGTGACTAACAAAAACATTGAAACACGTTAATTTCGAAAGCTTTTGCTAGTTTTATGTTGTTGAACAGTGGGTTTGAAATTATTTTAGGCTATCCCACTTTAAGGTTGTCGGTAATTTCATTATTGAAGACTTTTTGTAGTCCAGAGTATAATTATCTTTATTTATGTTAACAAATGTTCTTGGATTTAATTTTGCGTAAGTTCAACAGCATCGTGGATTACACATTTTGTCTAGTAACACTAGCTAAGTATAAGGTAGCAGCGGAAAACGCTCGTTCTGCTTATGCGCCGTATTTATGAGTTAAAGGCAAATTGGAGGTTTGTGCTATTTAATCTACTCGACTTAAAATAATTCATCTCCTTCCTTAACAAAACCTCAACATTGCTATTGCCTGCCTGCTTTGCCTGCCTTGCCTGCCCTGATTCAGGTTGAGGTGTTTCAGGAGTCTTCAAAGTAATCAAGACCAGTTGAAGTTCGTCTTGACGTTGCATCGATGCTGCTGATGCTGCTGAATCTTACTCCATATTGGCGACAAGTACGTTTACGGTACGGTTTTGGTAACATTACTAGAAAAATCTTTGTGTACAGTTTCCGACATAATTATCACTATATATAATATAAGCTAACTTACTTAAACAATTCGGCTTATTTTTGTTTAGCTAATTTAAACAAATTTAACTCAGTGCATCATACGTT